GGCCCGCGCGCTTGAGCGCGCCCATTGTGCAGCGGGCGGGCGGCAGCGCGCTCCATGCGCCGGCCCGCGGCCTCGCCATGGCCAGCAAGGCGCGCAGCAGCAGCGAGGCGCTCAAGGTGGTGGCGCGCTGCCGCCCCATGAGCAGGAAGGAGGAGGCCGCCGGCTACGAGAGGATCCTCGACATGGACGTCAAGCTGGGCCAGGTGACCATCCGCAACCCGCGCGCCTCGCCGGGGGAGCTGCCCAAGACCTTCACCTTCGACGCCGTCTACGACGCGAGCTCCAAGCAGGCGGACCTGTACGACGAGACGGTGCGGCCGCTCATAGACTCGGTGCTGCAGGGCTTCAACGGCACCATCTTCGCCTACGGGCAGACGGGCACCGGCAAGACCTACACGATGCAAGGGGCCTGGGCCGAGCCGGAGAAGAGGGGCATCATTCCCATCTCCTTCGAGCACATCTTCACCCACATCTCGCGCTCGCAGAACCAGCAGTACCTCGTGAGGGCCTCCTACCTGGAGATCTACCAGGAGGAGATCAGAGACCTCCTCGCCAAGGACCAGAACAAGAAGCTGGAGCTGAAGGAGAACCCCGAGACGGGGGTTTACATCAAGGACCTCTCCTCCTTCGTGACGAAGAACGTCAAGGAGATCGAGCACGTCATGAACCTGGGGAGCCAGACGCGCTCKGTGGGCAGCACCAACATGAACGAGTACAGCTCGCGCTCCCATGCCATCTTCCTCATCACCATCGAGTGCAGCGAGACGGGGCTGGACGGCGAGGAGCACATCCGCGTGGGCAAGCTCAACCTGGTGGACCTGGCGGGCAGCGAGCGCCAGAGCAAGATGGGCGCCCACGGGGAGCGCCCCAAGGAAGCCTCCAAGATCAACCTGTCCCTCTCGGCCCTGGGCAACGTCATCTCGGCGCTGGTGGACGGCAAGAGCACCCACATCCCCTACAGGGACTCCAAGCTGACCCGCCTGCTGCAGGACTCCCTGGGCGGCAATGCCAAGACAATCATGGTGGCCACCTTGGGCCCGGCCTCTCACAGCTACGACGAGAGCCTCTCCACCCTGCGGTTCGCCAACAGGGCCAAGAACATCAAGAACAAGCCGCGGGTGAACGAGGACCCCAAGGACACGCTGCTGCGGGAGTTTCAGGAGGAGATCGTCCGCCTGAAAGCCCAGCTGGAGAAACGAGGCATGCTGGGGAAGAAGAGGAGACGGAGCAGCCGGAGGAAGAAGGCRGTGGATGGAGAAAGCACCACGGAGAACGAAGGGGAGGATGACAACGAGGATGGCCTGGAGAAGAACATGGAGAACTACCTGAAGGAGCAGAAGGAGAGGCTGGAGGAGGAGAAAGCAGCTATTCAGGATGACCACAGCCTGGTGAGCGAGGAGAAGCAGAAGCTGCTGGAGGAGAAGGAGAAGATGATAGAGGACCTGCGCAAGGAGCAGGAGGCCACGGAGCTCCTGGCCACCAAGTACAAGGTAGGCGYGTGGTCGGGGTGGGCGCGGGACCTGCGTGGCCCAACTGGACAGCTGGAATGGGCAAGGAGGGCAGAGGTGCAGCGATTGGGGCTGTGCCGGGCGCCGCTGCCCGTTGGGGCCGCGCGGAGGCTGGAGGCTGCAGCAGCGTGCGCCAGGGCTGGCCGGAGGCCACGCGGGGCCGGTATGTGCTGAGTAACGGCGGGCACGGCGGCRCCGCGGCCGGCAGCGCTGCGGGTGCCTCTGCACCAGGGCGCTGGTGCCCGGCTCGCCACCAGAAAGCGGCTGCGGGCGCCGGCGGCCGCGGCGCGCGCGCCCTGCACGGGGGACATCGGCAGCACCCACACGGTGACGCGGTGACCTGGCGCTGCAGCGCGGCGGGCACGGTGCTGCACACGCCTTGCAGACACCCTGGGTGTGTGTGTGTGTGTATAGGTGCACAGGCGAGTGTACAGTGCACACCCGCGCACACCCGCGCTGCACCCGGGCCCCGGTGTGCGCTGCATCCATGTGCACACACACGCATGCTGCACACGTGTGCACACACGCTCCGGGCGTGTCTGTGCATCCCTAGACGTGTGTGCATGCACATCCTGCACATTTGTGGGCATGCACATCTTGTACGTGTGTGCATGCACGTCCTGCACATGTGCATGCACGCACATCTGGTACATGTGTGTGCGCACATCCTGCACATGTGCGTGCATGCACATCTTGTACACATGTGCATGCACATCCTGCACACATGCACATGCATCCTGCACACATATGCACACACATCCTGCACACGTGTGCAGATATATCCTGAATACATGTACACATGTCCTGCACATATGTGCACACACATTTACACAGATCCTGCAGGCATGTGCACACACATCCTACACATGTGCACACACATATCCCGTACACATGCACACACATCCTGCACATATATACATACATCCTGCACACACTTCCTGTGCGCATGTGCGCACACACCCCACATGCACGTGCATCCTGCACACATGTGCACCTACATCCTACACACATGCATGCACATCCCACACATATGCACACACATCCTGCACACATGCAGACGTGTCCTGCACACATATGCACACACATCCCACACGTGCACATCCATCCTGCACATATGCGCACACACATCCTGCACACATGTGCACACACATTCCACACATATACACATATATCCTGCACATCCATCCTGCACATATACATCCTGCACATGCACATCCATCCTGCACACATGCACATACATCCTGCACATGTGCACATCCATTCTGCACACATGTGTACACACATCCTGCAAACATGTGCACACACACATCCTGCACACACATGCACATACATCCTACACACACATGCACACACATCCCACACACATGCACATCCCTGCTGCACACACATGCACATCGACGCTGCACACACATGCACATCAATGCTGCCCACACATGCACATACATCCTGCACACACATGCACACACATGCAGCACACACATGCACACACATGCAGCACACACATGCACATTCCTGCTGCATGCACATGCACATACATCCTGCACACACATGCACACACATGCAGCACACACATGCACATACATCCTGGACACACATGCACACACATGCAGCACACACATGCACATCCATGCTGCACACACATGCACATACATTCCACAAACATGCACATACAACCTGCACACGTGCGCATCCATGCTGCACACACATGCACATCCCTGCTGCACACACATGCACATCGACACTGCACACATATGCACATCGATGCTGCACACACATGCACATACATCCTGCACACACATGCACACACATGCAGCACACACATGCACATCAATGCTGCACACACATGCACATACATCCTGGACACACATGCAGCACACACATGCAGCACACACATGCACATCCACGCTGCACACACATGCACATCCCTGCTGCACACACATGCACACACATGCAGCACACACATGCACATACATCCTGCACACACATGCACACACATGCAGCACACACATGCACATCCCTGCTGCCCACACATGCACATACATCCTGCACACACATGCACACACATGCAGCACACACATGCACACACATGCAGCACACATGCACATCCCTGCTGCACGCACATGCACACACATCCTGCACACGCATGCACACACATGCAGCACACACATGCACATCGACGCTGCACACACATGCACACACATGCAGCACACACATGCAGCACACACATGCACATCGACGCTGCACACACATGCACACACACCCCCTGCCCGCTGGCAGCGCCGGCGGCAGCTCCCGTGCGGCCGCTGTCAGGACGGGTTTCACGCTCGGCAGCCCCTTGGCCGGGTGCTGCCATTGCTGGGGCGGGCAGCGCGTGCCGGCCCCGCGGGGACATCGTGGGGGACACGCGTGCACAGGAGCACACGCGTGCGCGGTGCCCGCGGTGCACGCAGGTGCTGGGAGCTGCATGGCCTCCACACCAGCCCCGGTGGCCCCGTGGCCCGGCAGGCACCGTGTGGGGTCCCGCAGGCACCGAGGGCACCTGGGGGGCAGTGTGGGGTGGCACCGGACAAGGGAGCCCCCAGGGTGAGGGTGCTCCAAGGGACGAGGTTGCTCCCAGGACCAGGGTGCTCCCACCATGAGGGTGCTCCAAGGGACCAGGGTCTCCCCAGGGCGAGGGTGTTCCCACATGGAGGGTATTCCGAGGGACAAGGCTGCTCCCATGATGAAGGTGCTCCCACATTGAGGGTGCTCCAAGGGACGAGGGTGCTCCCGGACCAGGGTGCTCCCACCATGAGGATGCTCCAAGGGATGAGGGTGCCCCCCAGGACCAGGAGGCTCTGAGAGACGAGGATGCTCCCCAGGATGAGGCTGCAGCCAGGACGAGGTTGTTCCCCTGCATGACGATGCAGCCCAAGGTGAGAGTGTTCCCAGGGTGAGGATGCTGCCAGGACAAGGGTGCTCCCAGGACCAGGGTGTTCCCGGGATGAGGATGCTCCCAGGATAATGGTGCTCCCCAGGACAAGGATGCTCCCAGGATGAGGGTGATCCCCAGGATGAGGTTGATCTCAGGATGAGGATGCTCCCGGGATGAGGATGTTCCCAGGATCAGGGTGTTCCTGGGATGATGGTACTCCCAGGATGATGGTTCTCCCAGGACCAGGCTGATCCCAGGATGAGGTCGATCCTGGGATGAGGATGGTGCTCCTTAGGACAAGGGTGCTGACAGGATGAGGATGCTCCCAGGATGATGGTGCTCCCAGGACCAGGCTAACACCAGGATGAGGTCAATCCTGAGATGAGGATGCTCCCAGGACCAGGGTGATCCCAGGACCAGGGTGCTTTCAGGACCAGGATGCTCCCAGGATGATGGTGCTCCCAGGACCAGGGCGATCCCAGGACCAGGGTGCTCCTTCCCGCAGTTCCGGGCACTCCGCCGCTCCTGCCCTCATTGCCAGGGCAGCGGCCGTTGCGTCCTGGAAACACCCGGCTCCTCAGTCCCGCTTTCCCACAGGGAAATGGGGCGAGGGAGGTTTCCCAGGACGTGGAGAAGAGGATGGACCTTGGGTGGAGGAAGGAGGTGGCTGGAGGATGCCAGCCCTGCCCTCTACCTGCAGCAAAGGGCTGGAGCTGGAGGCCACTTCTGTCCCCAGGCTCCTGTGGGTCCCCTACCCCTACATGAGTCACCCGGGCACCTGCTGTGGCCACCAGCGACAGGTCCCCGCTGCGGTGGTGGCCCCGGAGCAGAGCCCGCGCTGACGCCTCTGTGCCCRCAGGCCATGGAGAGCAAGCTGCTCATCGGTGGCAGGAACATCATGGACCACACCAACGAGCAGCAGAAGATGCTGGAGCTCAAGCGGCAGGAGATAGCGGAGCAGGTAACGGCGCCGGCCCCGCTCCTGGGCTCCCAGGACTCCCAGGGCTCCAGGGATGTGGGTCCTGCCCAGGGATGCGGGTCCTGACAAGGGCTCCCAGAGCTGCAG